GGTGGCAGTGCTGCTCGCTGAGGGCGGCTCTTTAGCACCCTCTATCGCACCCCTGAGTGTCCTCTGCCTCCCTTACCCCAGTACTCAGCCTCTTAGCCTGAAAAACACAAGAGCACTCCCTGAAAAAAGAAAGGCAATCTGGCGAATACAGGGTCTCCTCCCCACTCTGTACCTGGGTTAGGAGTGTAACTAGTGCCCGCAGTGGCGATGGCAAGTCAGGAAATGTTCCTTTCCTTGGGGATACCGGGAAGCCTCCCCACAGACAGTTGCCTGGTTGTTTCTAGATGTGACAGGGCCGCCAGAGTGTGTGTGTGTGTGTGTGTGTGTGTGTGTGTGAGAGAGAGAGACAGAGAGAGAATGTGTTAAGAATGTATTCTGCATGTTTTACTGATTATGTCATTTTTCTTGGTGTGTGTTAATATTTAGAATATGTTCTTTTATTTCAAAACAACAATTATGGATAGAATGTTGAAGAAAGCATAATATTTACTTCATACCCAATTCTATGCATGCTTTCTTCTGCTTTTCAGTCCACACATTGTTCATCATGCTGGAAATCCTTGCTATACCTTCCTTTGAAGCAGGATCAATGCACTATACAGATATAATTTCAGCAAATGACCTAACCAGTATGAAGTGCATTGAATAACGGTATCATTTTGTGTTATGCTCTGTGGACTTTTTTTAAAAAGTGCTTTATCTACAAAACAATAATGTAACTGTATTTATAAAATTGTTTCCCAATTAAGAACATATTTAATAATTTATAAAAGTGGACATTTGCACAATTTTTTATAGTTCGCCTAATTGTTTAAAGTGCAAAAATTAATGTTTTAATATATTCACAGAGTTCTGCAACCATCACCCCCATCCATTTTCACGGTCATTATACTACTGTATCAATTAGCAGTCATTCCCCACTTGCCCCCACATTCCCTCCCCAGACCGCAGCAAGCCCTGCTCTGCTGTCTCCATACATTTTCCTGTTCCAGAAATTTCATACACAGTAAATGGAATCATACAACATATGCTCTTTAGTGGCTGACTTAGCATTATGTTTTGAAGATTCATCCATGTTGTCACATATAGCAGTAGTAAGTCCTTTTTATTGCTGAATAATATTCCATTGTGTGGACTTTTACTTATCCATTCATCAACTGATGGATATTTAGGTTCTTTCCACTTTGGGGTTATTATGAATAATGCTACCATGAGCACTCGTGTACAAGTTTTTGTGTGTGGGTGGATACATGGTTTCATTTTTCCCCCGGGGTATGTACCTAGGTAACTCGATGTTCAACGTTTTGAGGAACTACCAGGCTATTTTCCAGGGGCAATATATGTTGATTCCAATTTCTCCATGTCCCAAACACTTGTTACCTGTCTTTTTGGTCACAGTCCTCCTACTAAGTGTGAAGTGGTATCTCATTGTGGTTTGAGTTGTATTTCCCTGATGGCTCGGGACCATTTGCATATCTTCTTTGGTGAAATGTCTGTTCAGACCCTTTGTTCATTTTTTGGTTGGATTATTTGCCGTTTTATTGTTGGGTTGGACGAGCTCTTTATACACCCTAAATATAAGCTCCTTATCAGACATCTGATTTGCAAATATTCTGTCTTATTCTGTAGGTTGTCTTCTTACTTTCGTGATAGTGTTCTTTTGAGGCACAAAAGTTTTTAATCTTTTATTAATTTTGATGAATTTTAATTTGGGGGTTCATCAAATCTTAGAAGCCACCCACTCACAATGTCTGGCCCACCCAAGACCCAGGCCGCTGGGGGTTCATACTCTAGTGTCCCTGCTTAGGTATAAATAAAACAGCGTCCCGAATAATTGCATTTGCCCTTAGCTTTTTTCCCCCTGACCCTGTAGTTACCTTGAGTAGTGGTTGGGAGTAGGTTGGGCTTTCCTGTTCTTTCCCACTGAGAGAGCAGAACTAGTGAGCTGCCTGGTGTCTACGTGGGTTGCCCACTGTAACCCCACCTTAAGGGGTGTGGGCTCTGGAGACCAGAGCCAGGCAAAGTTAAAGCTGCTTGTACCCAGGGATAAACACAGCTGACTGTGGCCGCTGTCCTTCCGGAACTTTATTTAGGCACATGAAAATATATGGACTTGTTTACGAGTGTGGGTTGGGGTGGTCAGTTTTTTTCTTTTCAGCAGACTGGGATCATTTTCTTTCAATGCAACAAGTATTCGCTGATTACCTCCTATATGCTAGGCATTTTTAGATCGCTGAAAATCTGCAACTTGCAGTTTTTGCTTAAAAGCATAAAATCTTTGTGTCAATACATAATGATCTGTCTTTTTTTTATCACTGTAAAACATTAGCACACTTAGCATTTTGATATATTTAATGCTCTGATAAATATAAATTGATCGAAGTACCTCTAGCTATCTCTATCACCATTATTGGGTGGGATGCAATGAACAGATTTCCTAAGGTTAGGGAATTAGACATAAGCAGGGTTATGAGTTTAAGTCATAGACTCTTTCTCCCTAATGGGTTAAAACATATTTTTCAGTTTTGCTTTACACTGTGGATCTGTAGAAAGAATTAGATTGGTACAACTATTTTTTTAAATTTTTTAAAATGTCTATTTTATTTTTGAGAGAGAGTGAAAGAGAGAGAACAAGTGAGGGAGGGGCAGAGAGAGAGGGAGACAAGAATCTGAAGCAGGCTCTAGGCTCTGAGCTCTTAGCACAGAGCCTGACACAGGGCTAGAATCCACAAGCCATGAGATTGTGACCTGAGCCGAAGTTGGATGCTTGACAGACTGAGCCACCCAGGCGCCCCATGATGAGAACTTTTAAGATCTACTCTCTCACCAACTTTCAAAATATACAACACGCTATTGTTAACTATACCCACCATGCTGTACGTTACATCCCCAGAACTTACTTATTTTATAACTGGACATTTGTACCTTTTGACTCCCTTTCCCCATTTCCCCCACTCTCTTTCCCACTGGCTCTGGCAACCACCAATCCCTTCTCTACTTCTGTGAGTTTGTTTTTTTAGATTTCAAATATAAGTGAGATAATACAATATTTGTCTTTCTCTTTCTCTCTTATTTCACTAAGCTTAATGCCCTCAAGATCCATTCATGTTGTTGCAAATGCCAGGAATTCCTTCCTTCTTTGTGGCTGAATAATATTCCATTGTGTATATATATATATATATCACAGTTTTTTATCCATTCATCTGTTGATGGACATTTAGTTTCCTTGTCTTGGCTGTTGTAAATAACATTGCAATGGAAATGGGGGTGCAGATATCCTTTTGAGATAGCGATTTTGTTTCCTTTGGATATATACCCAGAAATGGAATTTCTGGATCATATGGTAGTTCTATTTTTTAATTTTTTCAGGAACCTCCGTACTGTTTTCCTGGTACTGGTACAGTGGCTGGACCAATTTACATTCCTGTCAACAGTGCACAAGGGTTCCCTTTCTACGTCCCTCCCACACTTGTTGTCTCTTGTCTTTTGAATGACAGCCAGTCTAACAGGTGTAAGGTATCTTATTGTGGTTTTGATTTGCATTTTTCTGATGATTAGTGATAGTGAGCACCTGTGGGGTGCTCACTTTTCACGTACCTGTTGGACATTTGTATGTCTTCTTTGGAAAAATATCTATTTAGTTCCTCTGCCCATCTTATGATGTTTGTTTGTTATTTGCTATTAAATTGTATTTCTTTATATATTTTGGATGTTAATCCCTTGTCAGTTACATGACTTGCAAATATTTTCTCTCATCACCTGGGTTGCCCTTTCATTTTGTGGATGGTTTCCTTTGCTGTGCAGAAGCCTTTTAGTGTGATTTAGCCCCACGTGTTTATTTTTGCTTTTGTTGCTTCTGCTTTTGCTGTCATATTCAAAAAATCATGACCAAGACTGATGTCAAGGAGCTTACTGCCTATGTTTTATTCCAGGAGTTTTATGGCTTCAGGTCTTACATTCAAGTCTTTAGTCCATTTTGAGTTGATTTTTGTGTATGGTGTAAGATAGTGGTCCAATTTCATTCTTTTGCATGTCGCTGTCCAGTTTTCCCAGAACCATTTATTGAAGAGACTATCCTTTCCCCATTGTATATTCTTGGCTCCTTTGTCATAAATTAATTAACTGCGTGTGCATGGGTTTATTTGTGGACTCTCTATCCTGTTCCACTGATCTATGTCTGTTTTTATGTCAATATCATACTGTTTTGATCACTATGACTTTGTAATATAGTTTAAAATCAGAAGTGTGATGCTTCCAGCTTTTTATTCTTCTTTCTCAAGACTTCTTTGGCTATTTGGGGTCTTTTACGGCTCTACACAGATTTTAGGATTATTTTTTCTATTTCTGTGAAAAATGCCATTGGAATTTTGATACGGATTGCCTTGAATCTGTGGGTTGCTTTGGGATCTGTCATTATTTTCAACAGCTGCATGGTGCCTGATAGCGTGGCAGCATTACAACTCCATGATTTCTTTAACTAGTTTCCTAATTGGGGGCATGCACATGGTCTCCGTATACTTTTCTTTTACAAATAATGCTACAATGAGTGCCTTTGTCATGTGACCTTGTGCATATTTGTGAATCTTTCTGGTAGACTCCTATGGGGAGAATTGCTTAATTAAAGAGAATGTGCTGAATATTTCTAATTGTTTCCAGGTAACAATATTGTGTCCATTTATTCTCCTACTACTAGTATATGAGAGGATTCTGCTCCCTGTGGTCTAGAAGTTAATATTATCAAGTTGATAGGTGAAAATGGGCAATAACCTTTTCGATAGTTATCAGCCTCAGCCGTTTATCCTGACCGAGCAGCTTGCAACCCTCAGCACAGGGCACTTCGGGGATACAAATTAAGAAAGGTCAAGTTCTAGCTGTTCTCATGGGTGAGCTTCAGCTATTACCAACGCTTGCTCAGATTCGTTGTGTACTTTTATATCCACGGTCTGTTTTCTCCCTTACCACCACACCCTCTAAGGTAAATGCCATTATCTCATTTACAGGTGAGGAAACACACCCAGTGAGGCCAATTTCTCAAAATCACAAAGTTAACAAGTAACAGAGCCAGGGAGGAAGGGGCCCCTGAGGGTGAAGGAAAGAACAGCAAGGGTAAGGCCACTGTTAACCCAGGAGTTTGAGTACTGACCTGGGTGTCAAGGCCAGAACCAGACGAGTTGTGTGGTCTGGAATGGTCCTAAATTCCTTCCCATGGGCTGCGGCGTGTGCGATCTGTTCTGCCTGCCCTTGTCCTGACTGGGCATGAGGTGGAGGCTACAGATATGGAGAGAGGAACCCCCCTGAGTCTAGTAACTCAAAGGGATCAGGGGAAGAGACGAAAGGACTGTTACCCTGGTGCTGGCAGAGGCGTTTATGAACGGATGATATGTGTGCAGACCTTGTCCACGAGCTCATGAGAAATCTCTTCCACCCTCCCAGCTGGCCGCTGCGCTAGTCACTGCCCAGGGCCCTCAGCATAGACTTCATTCCTCCCAACAAAGCATCCACTTAAACAGTCCTTGTATTACCGTGGCTCTACGCCTAGGAATTCCAAGGGCAGATTTGTTTAACCGTTTCTGGCTCCAGTACTTGTAGACTGGTCCTCAGAACTCAATGGTTTGGAGAAATATTTTCAGCAGACTCCAAGTGGGGAGCCGGCAGGCAGCTCAGAGAGTGCATTTGTTCCCCCAGGGAAGCTCAGCTCAGTGGACACACTTCTGGGGTCATAAAAACCCCTGTGGCCTTACACCATCAGGATTTTAGTCCCCAAACATGAGGCTCCTCAGGGTGGTACTATCTCAGCCCCTCCCCGACATGACCTGAGGGTTGGGGGTGGGGGGCACAATGCACACTTGGTTTGCCAGCCATGTGAAGGGGGCTCTGCCACTGGGTAGCTGGCTGGTGTTTTCAGATGTGAGAGGCCCGAAGACTACGGAGAAGAGTCTTGTATCCTGAGCCTAGTGAGAATGTGGCCCAGGATCTCAGGAAGGTACAGTCTCTCTGCCCTTTTGTTTGTAAAAACAGTAAGAAATCTATCCTGTGGTCATGTGAGAGAATGTCTTTATTCTTAGGTAACGCGTATACACATGCAGAGAGAGAGAGAGCGCACGTGCGAATGGTGCATCTGGATAAAAGGTATTTGGAAATTACTTATACCATGCAACTTTTCTGTAAGTTTGAAACCGTATCAAAATTAAATGGTGACAAAAAAGTAGAATTATAAAACTCAAAGAAGCATACTTAGGTACATTAATTCTCATTCACACCTGACTAGCCCAAGAATGGACTTCATTTTTGTGTAAATTTTGAATTATTTGTACCCAGTTGTAATCACGGACAATTTTGTAGTCTGTTTTTTGTTTGTGTGTTTGTTTTTACTTGTCATCGGTCGCAAACTGTTGTCTCTGCTGTTACACGGTCCTGGTAACTATCATCTAAATGACTTACAAAATACCATTACAGGTCATAATTTATGCTTTCCCATTGGTGGACACTCCAGAGGAAGCAGGGGATTGATCTGAGTTCATCATGAACTTTGTATCAGGGGCCATCCACCACAGGCCTTATCTTATTTGCCCCTCACAATCATACTAAGATAAATATTTTTACCCCCAGCTTGTGGGTACGGAGCTTATAACAAGCCAACCCCACTCACGCAGGGCAGATTCAGCATTCAAATCCAGTCTCTCTGACTCCTCTGCTCATGCCTTCCCTTGGCTCTTCCACCACTGAAGCCTTCTCTTCTTCCTCCTCTAACTGCATGGCTCTTTTTCTGTACTGCAGTTTCTATCTTGGACTGTAGTTATTAATTCCGTGTCCCCAACACTGAGGCTAGCCTATGGGCCCTTTGAGGGTAGGGCTCACAGCAGTTTACCCTTGGAGGCCTCAACGTGTTTAGGCCCTGTGGAGGTCATTCATGGCAGGAGTTCATGTCATTTATTATTTCAACACATACTGTATTTATGGAAGGCCTACTATGCTCCAGGCACCGTTCTAGATTCTTGGGACACATTAGCAATTCAACAGACAAAATGGAGCTTATATCCTAGGGGAAGAAGATGTACGATAAAAAACAAAAACATACGTAGTAAATAAGAAAAGCATATGTTATGTTAGTCGGTGCTAAGTACTATGGGAAAAGAGAGCACAGTAAGGAGAATAAGGGATTACAGGAGGAGAGGGTGTTTTAATTTTCAATGGAGTAATTAGGGCAGGCCACATTGAGGGAGTAACATTTGAGCAAAGATTCGGAGAAGAGAGTGAATACCACATGAATGAACACATGAGGGAATAAAGTTACCTTTAGGATACATTCTAACTATACAATTAGAAAGTGGTCATTAGAAGAGCTAGGACCCAGGGGCGCCTGGGTGGCGCAGTCGGTTAAGCGTCCGACTTCAGCCAGGTCACGATCTCGCGGTCCGTGGGTTCGAGCCCCGCGTCGGGCTCTGGGCTGATGGCTCAGAGCCTGGAGCCTGTTTCCGATTCTGTGTCTCCCTCTCTCTCTGCACCTCCCCCGTTCATGCTCTGTGTCTCTCTGTCCCAAAAATAAATAAACGTTGAAAAAAAAAATTAAAAAAAAAAAGAAGAGCTAGGACCCATGGGGTGCCTGGGTGGCTCAGTCGGTTAAGCATCTGACTTTAGCTCAGGTCATGATCTCATACTCCATGAATTCGAGCCCCGCATCGGGCCCTGTGCTGACAGCTCAGAGCCTGGAACCTGCTTTGGGTTCTGTGTTTCCCTCTCTCTCTGCCCCTCCCCTGCTCATGGTCTGTCTCTCTCACTCTCCAAAATGAATAAGTGTTTAAAACATTTTTTTTTAAATAAAGAAAATTTTTTAAAAAAGAAAAGCTGGGACCCTAAGTCTGAAAAAGTCAATGCTAAGGAGACATAAGATCAAAGTTTAAAAGATCATACCAAGCACAGACAGGGTGGACAATGGCTCATTCCACAACAGTGCCAGTTTGGCTCCTCAAAGTAATGTCAGAGCGAACAAGAAAAGCTGCTTTACACACAGGTGGTAAACACCTGAGACTTAAACCCCTAAAGCTGGCATGGGCTGAAAACACAGGACAGTTTTCAGTAAATCCATAGACACCAGCCCTGTGGTTGGTGATTGGAAGAAGTTGGGGATATTGGTAGGGCATGCCCCAACCATCTGACGTGATCCAGGACAAAAGTCCAGTCTTGTGCCATGTTAGGACGGAGGACCTGGGTGAGCTGGATGCCACCGAGAGGTCCTGTTGATCCTGGACTGCACATCTCACATCAGCTAACACTGAAAGCCTTTTCTTTTACATGTCATACTGTTGATGTTTGTCAAACAAATTGCAAACTGGACAGGTGGAATTATTACACTTAGAATTATTGCATTTGTGAATTTTTTTAATACAAGACTTACGTAGAATCAACTTTTCAAACATATAATCGCACTTTCTGATGGGGCAGGAGATATCATTTTGACCAAAGTATAATCTTTAACAATTTATTTGCTTAGTAAATAATTTCCAAGTTAAATGGCCTTTGTTTTTCATAGACTGTGTCTGGGTAAATACATAAACATATTATCGATGAAATGAATCATAACTGAAATATGTGAGGTTGGCCTAACAGAGGATTTCTATGCAAATAGAAGCTTCTTTTGTGAAGTAAATACTTCCTGAAATTTTGCCTTACATATGTAGATTTTTGTTTATTGGGTTTTCTTAGAGTAGAGCACACTCACTTGACATTCCATTTTTAAAAATGTATTTAAACTTTCTATCTACTGATATGGAATGTTCTCAAAACAGTAAAACACAGATCAGCACATATTGTATGCTGTATCATATGTTATCATTTCTATTAAGAATATACACATACAGGCTCATATATGCATAGAATGTCCCTAAAGGATACACGAGGAGTTGGAAACAGCATCTATCCCCAGGGGAAGAAATGTGATGATTAGAAGGCAGGAGAAGAGGGAGATGTTGTTTTCACTCCATATCTTTTTATATCTTTTGACTTTTGTACCATGTGTATACATTACCTAGTCAGAAAATAAAGTAGTCTTTTTTTTTTTTAATGTTTATTTATTTTTGAGAGAGACAGGGAGAGACAAGTGTGTGAGTGGGGGGAGGGGCAGAGAGAGGGAGACAGAATCTGAAGCAGGATCCAGGCTCTGAGCTGTCAGCACAGAGCCCCACACGGGGCTCAAACCCTTGAATGGTGAGATCATGACCTGATCCAAAGTCAGGTGCTCAACCAACTGAGCCACCCAGGTGCCCCAGAAAATAAAGTACTCTTTAATACACCATAAAAAAATAAAGCATCGCTGTTTCAGGACAAATATGTAGTCACCAAAATGACTCGGACATTAAGTAGTGAATGTTGGTGTTAGGACACACTGGTAGGGTCAGGAAAAGTATTGACTGAGTCCAGGAAATGCCTTCTCCAAAATGTTCCCTTTAATTGCAGACTGTATTTTAAATCATTTGACCTCAATTTTGTTTTACAGACTTATTCAATGTACAGTTTATTTACCTGCCTTTATAGTTAGGGATCTCGGCTTTGTTGTCACAGAGTCCACCATATCTGCTCTTAAAGACTGCCTTTTCTTCTTCTTCTTCTTCTTCTTCTTCTTCTTCTTCTTCTTCTTAATTCTTTCCCCACCCCCACCCCCACCCCCACCCCCAGTTGCATTTTGGAAACACAAAGACTTTAATAATTATATGAGCCACAGATATGAACACACACTCTGCATAAGGTAAAGTACAAATAGGAAACAGAATCATTGGAAAATATTCTACCTCAATAGTCAAAGAAACTCAAACTAAAACAAAGAAATACCTTATTTAATATGCAAGTCATTCAAAGGTTACCCCCAGTGGCAAGTAGGGTCTGGTAAAAGCTGTATATGTTTATCATTGGCTAAAATATAAATCAGCTCAACCCTTTGGCCAGGCATATGTCAATTCATGCAGCCATAAAAATATTGATGTCTTTTTTTAAAGTATTGTTATCTCTAACATGTTTTTTATTTTTTTTATTTTTTTTTAATGTTTATTTATTTTTGAGACAGAGAGGGGCAGAGCATGAACAGGGGAGGGGCAGAGAGAGAGGGAGACACAGAATCCGAAACAGACACAGAATCCGACACAGAATCCGAGCTGTCAGCACATAGCCCGACACGGGGCTCGAACTCACGGACCGTGAGATCATGACCTGGGCTCGGAAGCTTAACCGACCGAGCCACCCAGGTGCCCCTATTTTATTTATTTTTTTAATGGTTATTTATTTTTGAGAGAGAGGGAGAAACAGAGAGAGAGGGAGACACAGAATCTGAAGCAGGCTCCAGGCTCTGAGCTGTCAGCACAGAGCCCCATGTGGGACTGGAACCCACGGACTCTGAGATCACGACCTGAGCTGAAGTCGGATGTTTAGCTGACTGAGCCATCCAGGAGCCCCAAAATATTAATGTCTTTTGACTTAGTAATCCCAACTCCTGGGAATTTGTCCTGAGGAAATTGTTTCCAAAGAAGAGAAAAAGCTATGTGTGGGAAGATCTTCATTCATCTGTATCCATCAAAGGGAAAAGGTGAGGGGCTAGAAAGAGCGATGGTTTGCAGTCAAGTGTCTGGGGTTTGATGGCTTGATCTTGGGATCTGCCGCTTAGTGTCTGTGTGGTGTTGGATAAGTGACTTGATCTCCCTAAGTCTGTATCTGCCAGGATGGAAGGAGGGAAATCAGGCTGGGAGAGTCGTGTGGGACCAGAGTCTGGAGGATCTTGACTGCTAAGACAAGGTCCCCAGGCTCTATGAAGTGGGCAAGAGGAGCATTGCAAGTATTTGACCTGAGCTCCACCTCAGGAAAGTTAAGCTGGTGGTGGCATGTAAGATATATGCAACTAGTGAGAAGGTGGAGGTAGGGAGGCCCTTTAGAAGGCTTCCGCAGTAGTGTATATGAGAGGCAATGACTAATTAAATGATGCAGCCTAAATTGTGCGAGTACTTTGTGGGTGATGAGTCATTATCATAAATCTCCAGCCTCCCCGAAGCATCTATTTTATAGCCTGCACTGAGCAGAAATATCACCTAATAATGCCTTATATTTCTAAAGCCTTTTACGGTTCAAAAAGTGCTTTCATGCGTATTATCTCATACGATCTTCTAGGGTGCTTACAAGTTGGTATTGTGAGGGACTTGTCCCAGATATTGTAGCAGGCCTATTCATTTATAATTTCCAGGGTCCACCCCTCCTCTCCTTCCCTCAGTTCCCTTTTGTTCAGTATTCAGCACTTTCCAGTTCTTTTTTCCATTTCACTGCAGAAAAAGAAGAAAAAGAAAAGAAAAGAAAAACAGAGTGGCTGAACAATGCCCCCTGCTTAAGTCCCCCAGAAGGTGGGTAAGTCATCAATGTGCTGAATTTGAGCACATTTGGTTTATTTAATCATGTGTTCATTTTTCTCTGATTGCACTGGAGTTTCACACATTCCACCATATGTTGTCTCCATGATGCTGTGCACACACGAGCGAGAACCCACTCGGGGGGCCTAGCTTTCCCTCTCTTCTCTCCATCTCCAGCCCATTTCCCATCCCAGAGAGGGGTGTCTCCCTCTGGAGGCCCAAAAAGGGATCCCCAGTTACACAGACCCAATCCCTGAGAAATGGGACTTGTGATCACCCGGGAAATCTGAGGTCCTGGCCTCCACTGTGATCACAACGTCCTAACTCGGGGCTTCTCTGGCTTCCAGAGGCACTAATGAGCAGGGCTGAGCGGTAATTAAGACTGTGCTCAGCTCCCCATCACACAGCACAGCTGCAGCCAGCCAGGAGGAGGGAGAGGGAGGAGGACACGAAGGATGCCTCCAGCCTTCTCTTCCCACTCTGAGCCCACTCTCCAGGGCTCTGTTTAGTGCAGCAAGGGGGAGTCAGTAAAGCCAAATAATGAGGGAATAACTGTAGGATTCAGCTGCCCAAAGCTGGGGAGGAAGCATCCAGATGCCGGCCAGGTGTTGCTTCTCTAGCCAATGAGGCGCCAGTGGGCCAAAGCTGTGCTTTTGTCAGGGGTGAGAAGTATCCTGTTTTGCAACCAGCCTGGCACAACAGGACCTGCATCAGGATGGGACTGTGGCCTCTCAAGGTAGGGGCAGCATGACACGCGCCACCCACTATTCATTGCCATGCATCTGCCCATTGCTTCTGGGGAGGCTTCTGAGACCTTCTCTGGCTCATACCCTAGACCAAGGCTCCACTCTGGGTGAGGACCAACAGCAATAACAAATACTGAGTGAGCAACACTGAGCCAAGTTCTGGAGACCCACAGATCCATATGACCCAGTCTCTTCCAGACAGCATACCCTCCAGGGAGGGGGCAGGTGTGGAGACATGTGACTGCTATGATAGTGGTAAGAACAAATTCTAAGGGAAACAGAGTAGCCTGGGTAGATTGAGGATAGCTCTGCTTGTATAGTGGCAATCGAGTCATGTCTTGAAGCAGAACACAGATTCACCAGAAAAGAGCTTTTTGGCAAAGGGAACAGAGCCAGCGAAGGCATGGGCATGAAATAGCAGATGGCCTGTCCTAGCGCAGTGAGCATTCAGATCCAGACGGTGAGGCAGACCTGATGCATAGCTTGAGTGGAGAGAGGAGGGATGGATTCTAGGGGTCACTGGCCTGGTGGGAGCAATTGCCAGTCTGACCCACATTCCCCAGCTTACACCACTTTCAGGTGCACAGATGCTCCCACACTATCAGAATCCATGGGGAGCTGTCCCAGCCCCAGGTGCTGAGCAGGAGAGGGATCCGGGGTGAGTTGAGGGGCTGATGGAGAAAAGCCAGAGCTAGAGGGAAGGGGATTAGGCAGAAGGAAAAGGCCCCATGCTCACACAGGGACGCAACTGCAGCCAGGGGAGAGGGGTGACTGTTGCTAGGCTGGAGCCTGGGCCTCATGTGGGGCGGCGGTCACCCTTTTCCTTCCTGTCCTCTGCCAACTGCTCCAAGAGTCACAGGTACCTGAAGGTCCCCAAAACCTACTCTGTCCCCAGGTAAGGGATAGAAGTATTCAGTGATGATTCTGTAGGGGCAGAACTGAGAGGTTATGTCAACCACTTCCCAAACATGTAAACCTATGAGTCAGAGAAAGAAAGGTTAGCCTCAAAAATGCTGAATCTTCAGTAACATTGTGACCACTTTCAAATATATACAATCAGGACTCATTTCAAATAGCCTTTTGGAAGCATGCTAACTTTTTTTTAAGTAGGCTTCATGCCCAGCACAGAGCTCAATGAAGGGCTTGAACTCACAACTCTGAGATCAAGACCTGAGCTGAGATCAAGAGTCAGACGCTCAATCGACTGAGCCACTCAGGCACCCCAAAGCATGGTAGCTTATGACCACTGGGTTGTGGCCGTCCCCTCTCCTCCCAAGAATCAAAAGACTTCCCCTTTCCTTATCTGAGTGACATGATGAAGTTCTCCAAGGGTATTTTGGGCTGACTGGTGAATAAAAGGAGCCTGGAATGCTGCTGTGTTAAGTCAGCCACCTCTTGGCTGGTGAGTGCCCACTTCATGACTTTCCTGCATGTAGATTTTTCAGTTCACGACAAGCTTCGTTTTCATTCTGAGCTGGTGGTCTTGTTTTCCAAGGCAGTGTTTCCCAAAAGGCTTGAGATCTCTTGCATGGCCACGGCTCAAAAGTTTGGAAATGAGATCCACAGGTAAGCTGTGTTCTCTACGGAGCTAACCTGAGGCTGCCCTGTACCCCTTGCCTCTCCCTTAAGGGGTCGCAGGGTCAACAGGACACCTGTGGACACCTCTTCCCGGTGCCTGTATGTCTGCCCTGTAGGAGAAAGGTGTAAGGAGTGGAACGGGTATATCTGGACGGGGAGGAGGGCTGTGAGTCCAAGCCTCCTTCACACATGGGAAACAAAATATCTGGCTTCCCTTCTTGTGCCCTTGTCAGAGAAGTGGATCTGGGACCCAGCCTCGTCTCTCCCCCCTGACTTGACAGGCATGGGAAGCGACGGTGGAGGGAACTTCAGAGCTGGGGGAAGTAGAGGGAGGATTGCCTTTTATTTTGAGTATCTTTCTTTGGACTTTTGCATTTATAATATTTCTATTTTTGAAAGAATCATTTGGTTCCTTTTTCTTTTAGCATATTTTCTTTAGAGCAACAGAGGCTTTTGCAATATGGAAAAAGTGACATTTGATCTGAAGGAGTGTGGAGGGGAGCTCTGAGTGTGGGGGACTGACCTTTACTAACCACCTACCCAGAGCGGAGGCTGGAGAAGCGCGAGCTGAGCCTGCAGCAGTGATGTCTGGTGCCCTCCACAGGTCAGTTCACAATGGGAGTCTCGGTGACGACCCGGAGCTGTGTGTGCGTGCCTGTGCTCGCCCCGCTCTCCAGCGGATTCTCTGGATGGCTCTGGCTAACGCGTCTGTCCACGCGCTCTGTTGCCAGCTGTCCCCGTTCTCTCTTCCTCTCTCCCTCTCTCCTTTCAGCCCAGCCTGGAAGCCCCAGGGCTGGGCCAGAGGGAAGCAGTTGTTGCTGCTTTTCCCCAGCTCCCGCTCAAACGTGACACCACAGAAAGGTCAAGCCCACGTGGTTCTGCACGTCCCCTGCCTGGCCCGCCCTGGCTGTTACCATGACGACTCCTGGGCTGGAAATGTCCTTAGCCACCTCTGCTCAGCATGTTGGGTGGCTGTCCCAGGCTCCGTTCTCAGAAAAGCCACTCCAGCCAGCTGTTCTGGAGTTATAGGTCTTCTGGAAATATGGACAGACAGATATAGAAAAACAGATCAAGTCACAGGCACACACACACCGACAGAGACAAAGAGAAATAAGGCACATTTAGGGACCCAGAGAATGTGAAGAGGCAAAAAAGTGAGATGGTGACAGGGTCTCAGTGATGCAGGACTGAGGGATGATGAACAAAGCACAGCAGAGTCTGAGACAGAAACAAGAAAAGAGACAAAGAGAGGCACAGGGGACTCATGACAACAAGGATGAGAGAAGCCCCCACTGAAGAGTAATGGAGATGGCCTGAGGGAGGCAGAGAGAGGAAAGGGGACAGTTGTGACAGGAGTTGGCCCACACTGTCTTGCTCCCATCCCAGTAAAGTGCCTTGTCCTGAGCCGGGCTCAGATCCAGTATTTGTCTCACCTCCCCAAGGTCTCAGGTGGGATCTCAGGTGATTTGCTGGCCGGGCTCTTTCTCTGGCTGGGTCACATTTGCCATCCATTTGCCTTGCCCTAAAGCTAACAATGGTGAAGTTGAACCCCACCCCAGCACACACCCACACCCAGCCCCTCCTTGCCTTAGGGAGGCCCTTGGTTCCATTTCACCCCAAACTCACCACAAATACCTACAGCTCAGCCTCCTTTCTCCCAGGTGGTGGAATGGGTATTAGAGCACTGAGTAGGATGGTAAGAAATGAGGCAAAATTAGGGAGTTTGAGTATGACCATCAGAGGTGACGTAGCCCCTGGGCGGGGGGCAGTTAACTAATATGAAGGAGGAGAGAAGGGGTGACCGGAAAGACTGAGTACCAGTCGGGAATGCAGGGGTAAGAGGGTGAGAGGAATAGGGGAGGGGAGTGTTTGGAGTGCTCACCCAGGAGGCCAGAGGAGCACTAACTAGAGTCACAGACCAACTAGGATTGGTCCTCCAGGGCTGGCCAGGAATTTTGCCTCCAACATTAGGTCATTAATTTCCTATCTTAGAAGTGTCTCTAAGGCTTTGAGTGAGGTCTCTCAGGGTCTGTGAATTCTCAGTCATTCTTAGCCTTTTCTTCTTAAGAAATAATAGCCCATAAGCAGAGGAAACTTGGAGCCCATCCAGCCTCCAACCAGTTCTGTCCTTGACCATTGTAGAATGAACAGTACAACCAGTATCCCTAATGTCACCATGTTCCAGGCTCACATGTGGGTGTAGAATAGAACAGGTGGCAGCCTAGAGAGCCTAGTGCCTTGGTAGCCTCAGAGCAGACAGCCCAGTGAGGAAACTTGGCCCAGAAGGGAGACTTCAGCTCAACATAGCTGTGGGTGGACATCAGATAAGGCTATGCTGAATTAGCCAACTTGGAGAACTCCTTGGGCCACAGAAGCTAGAATGTGAAAATCAAAGGTCCCATGCTGTCCCTGGAAGATAGGTCCCGGACTGAATGGGAAAGGGACTGTGGCAGATGTTGTTGATGCCCTACCCCACATCCCTTCAGCCCACCTCTATGTCCAACTGAGGCTGTGATGGACAGTTCCAGGACATGTTCACAGTTTCCCATTTATGATATAATGACTTGTAAGAAATGTATATTTAGTCATTCAGATGACCAAAGTATCTTTCTCAGATATATTTGGTCTTCATCCACAGTTCCTGAAAATACTTCACAGCCATAAAGGTGAAAAGGGTGTCTTGTAATTACTGAAGTTGACTTATAGACTCCACCCAAAGGCAGCGGCTGGTTTCCAGGAGGAACAACTTTGTGATTAGAGTGTTGGAACTTTCAGTCCTACTCCCACCTCCACCCCAACCTCTGGGGAGGGGAGACTCTAGACTGAATCAGCCAATGGCCAACGACTCAGTCAATCATGACTATGCAATGAAACCTCCATAATAACCCAAAAGGACTGAGTTGGGAGAGCTTTGGAATTGGTGAACACATGAAGATTATGGAGAATGGTGTGCTTGGAGAGGGCATGGAAGCTTTGTGCCCTTTCCTCATACCTCACCTTATGTATCTCTTCATCTGACTGTTGACTATCACATCCTTTAATAAACTGATAAATAAATGTTGTTTCCCTGAGTTCTGTGAGCCCCCCTAGTAAATTAATTGAACCTAAGGAAGAGGTAGTTGAAACCTCCAATCTGTAGCCAGTTGGTCAGAAGAACAAATAACAGCCTGAGGACTGGCATCTGAAATAGGGGGTGGGAGGCAATTTTGTGGGACTGAACCCTTAACTTGTGAATCTGATGCCATCTCCAGGAAGATAGTGTCCGAAATGAGTTGAATTCTTGGACACCCTGCTGATGTATGAGAATTGCTTGGTGCTGTGTGTGTGAGAACCCGACCCACCCCCATTGGAATTGGGTCCAGGAATCCTAATAGACCATCCTTCTCCTTCTCTGTGGGAGGCTTTTCTCAGCCTCTGCAGGGCAGCCTAGAAGTAGTAGGAGATTAACACTCCCAAAAGACAAACCTCAACCACTGAGGGATGGGGACTGATGGAATTATAGCCATATTTCCCCATCGCTCAGTGGGGGATATTCTGAGCCGTGATCTTTTATGCGCCTCAGAGTGATCCCAGAGGGACTGAGCCCTAACTACCCACAAGGAACCACTCACTAGACCCTTCACCATCTCATTCTCTTTGCTCCATTATTCTTGCCTACCCCCTAAAATAACCTGTCTACATCCAAGACCTTGTCTGATAGTATGTGTTCAGAAGACATAAAATAGCACAAGGGCTGTCTTTCTGTGATCTTCCCTGCCAAAACGTCTGTCCCACATGGCTGGGCTAAGATAAGAATTGTTGGAGAGCTCTGCCTCTGACTGATTGTTGGTAAGTGATCAGATGTTTGTTGGAAGAGGTCATTATCATCTAAGGAGGTCATTTCATCTAAAGAGCTCAACATCTCCTCCTCCAAGATTTTGCGGAGTCCAGGGCTGACTTATGAGCAGCAAGCACCTGTAGATCTCTGATGGACAACCATAGACTTTCATAACTGGAAAGGACCTTAGGGGTCACCTGATCCAACTTTCTATGAAATAAAGGAATCCCTTTACAATATCTCTGATGCCTGATTGAACATATATTATTGGACAGCTATTAGAAAGTTTACCTTACACTGAATTGTGATTGCTCTCCCTGAAACTTACCCCCAGTGGTCCTAGTTTGTCCTTTGTGTGTCAGTGTTTCATTTTTCTGCTCAAGACTCCTCCAAATATTTTAAGGCTAACCATGTTTATCATATCTTTTCTTTCCAGGCCAAATTTTATTGCCTTGACCTTTCTTCAAATGAGATGATCTTCTGGGCCTCCTTACTCTGGACCCCTACTCCAGGCAGCACTGTGAGTTTGTCAGTGTTCCTCTTTCATAGTGCCCAAATGATACTTCAGAGTCGTATGGCCGGTGCAGAATTTATTTTTATACTATTATAGCCCTAAGTACATTTCCACTATTGATTCCTAGAATTATAAACTTTGGCAGGTACACAACACTACTGACTCAACTGAACTGTAAAGACATTGAACATCTGTTGTTTTGGTTTCTCAGCATCCCTTTTGCTTTTCTTCAGGTAACAGCAACTCTCTCTCTTGCTTCCCATTTTCAAATGGTTCTGGTGGGATTGCCAACCACGGTACCCTGTGCCTCTAGCCATAGGTTTTGGCTCATGACCTAGGCTCAGCCAATGAAAGCCAGTCCTTTCCCTGCTCACAGCAATTGGTTTGATGATTAGCATGTGACTCAGGCCAGGCCAATCAGAATCCTTCCCTGGGATTTATTATATGGAGTTGGAAGGGCTGGATTTGCTAAGCTGGGATGATGTAAAGAACTCCCAGGTCTATATCTGCTATACCTACAAACAAAGAAATAGAGAAGTTAAGAGTGAAAGAAAGAAGAGATTGAAGATATTACTTGAGTATTTGGATCCAGATGACCTTGAGGCCAGCCCTACTTCTGTCCTTATTAATCAATGTCCCTTTATAGTTTAATCTAGATTGAGTCTGTCTTCTGTTACTAGAACAAACTAATACACAGTTCTTTTTGTGTCCTCTAATTGTGTAGTTACTTTTTAAGTCCTAAACGAAGGGCTTCATATTTATCCTTATTAGATTTCATGCTTTGTCCCATCATTTCAGTCTACAAAAATTTAGAGTCTGATTCTGTTGGTCAGTCAATTACCTATCCTCTCACTTTTGGTAAGGGTGTCTTCTATGCACTTATCCAAATCATTAATAAAAATGTTCAGCTCAGCAGAGTGAGGAGGAAGAAGAAGAAGGAGGAGGAGGAGGGGAGGAGGGGGAGGAGGAGGTAAGGGAGAAGGGGGAGAAGAAGAAGAAAAGGAAACAAACAAGATATGAGCATCATGTCAGTTTATTAGTCAATGAGTACAATTTTTAGATGGTTTTTCAAACAACTAAGAATTTACACTACTGTACTCTAATCCAACCTACACCTTCCATCCTGTCTCCCAGATCTCATGATTTAGTTGACCAGATGCTCTGCTGAAGGCTATGCTGCACCTTGGCATTCTGCAGAGATACCAGGGGCACCTGGGTAGCTCAGTTGGTTAAGTGGCCGACTTTGGCTCAGGTTGTGATCTCGCGGTTCATGAGTTCAAGCCCCACATCCAGCTCTGTGCTGACAGCTCAGAGCCTGGAGCCTGCTTTGGATTCTGTGTCTCCCTCTCTCTCTTCCCCTCTCCCACTCATTCTCTCTCTCTCTCTCTCTCTCTCTCTCTCTCTCTCTCTCTCTCTCAAAATAATAGATAATCTCATCCAAAAAGGACATAAGATAAAAAACCAAAAGTGGTCTTTATTTATTTATTTATTTATTTTAGAGAGAGAAAGGGCATGTGAGAGGGGGAGAGAGAGAGGAAGAGAATCGCAAGCAGGCTCTACGCTCAGTGTGGAGCCCAATGTGGGGCTTGATCCCACAACCCTGGGATCACAACCTGAGCCAAAATCAAGAGTCAGATGCTCAACTGATGGAGCCACCCAGGCTCCCTGGTTCTATTCTTTAAAATACTCAAAACTCAGGGTGCCTGTCTGGCTCAGTAGATAGAGCCTGCAACTCTTGATCTCAGGGTCATGAGTTCAAGCCTCATGTTGGGCATGGAGCCTATTTAAAAAATAATACTAATAAATACAATACAATAAAGGAAAAAATAAAATGATGATACACTCTCAGTAACCCATCTCCTTACCTGTGCACACATGCATGCCCACATAGGTACCATCCCTCTTACCTATCTCCGCCTCCTCCCTCCCTGCTTATCTGCAAAATAACTGATTTTTTTTAAAGTGGATCAGCATGAAGGGAGCAAAGAGTCTGTCTGTTTGGGAAGAGAAAAACTTTACTTCCGAACAATCTGTGACCTGTAGCACCTGGGAAAAGGAGGTGGGGAGAATGCCAGGAGATGAGTATATCTCAGCCACACATTGACTCACGGTGGGAAGTACCACCGCTTAAGATGGCCTCCAGCTGGAGGGTGGGGCCTCAAGGAGCAGAGACCCACCCACCTGTCGCTCCAGTGGAGCCTATAGGAGGCAGTGTGGTGCATCCAAGGAGCACAGGCTTCGGAGAGCTAAGCCAGGCTAGAAATTCCACACCCAGCAACACCACTTGCTAGCCACCCCACACTCCCTCGTGCCAAACCCAGGTGTCAGGCTCCACTCCTACTCTCTCACACTTCATTCCACTAGGATACTGAGTTCCAGTGGTTCTTCCCCTCCAAATGCTTCCTTTATCCACTTCTCTCTAGGCTCAGAGCCACATCCTCGTTTGCGTTACTATCATCTCGTCAAATATTTCTTCTGCACCATTTGCTCTTTCTGGGACTCAGATTACACGTATATCAGACTGATTGATATTTTCCCACAGATCTTAGAAGCTTGGTTTTCTTTTTTTACTCCCACTCCTTTTTGCCCCTCTTTGTGTTTCAGCTTGGATGGTTTCTACTGACCTCTCTCAAGTTCATTGGTTTGTTTGTTTGTTTGTTTGTTTGTTTTTCCTCAGCTGTACCTACTATGGAAAAACTTGTTGAAGGAATTCATCTCTGGTATCATGTTTTTTATTTCTAGCATTTTTTTTTAAGTAGGCTCCGTGCCCAACATGGAACTTGAACTCACGACCCTAGGATCAAGAGTAGGATGCTATACTGACTGAGCCATCCAGGAGTGCCTATTTCTAGCATTTGCATTGGACTTTCTCATAGTTTCTGTGTCTCTGCCAAGACTCCCTAAATGTTCGTGCAAGTTGTCCACCCTTTCCCACTAGACCTTTTCACATATTAGTTATTATTATTTTAAAGTCCCTATCTGGTAACTCCAAAATCTGTGTCATCTGTGAATCTGGTTCTGTTGATTTCTGTAACTTTTTTTTTTTTTTTGAGAGAGAGAAAGAGAAAGAGCAAGCAGGGGAGGGGCAGAGACAGAGGGAGAGAGAGAGAATCCCAAGCAGGGAGGCTCTGCACAGCCAGCGCAGAGCCCCACGTGGGGCTCAAATTCATGAACCATGAGATCATGGCCTGAGCCAAAATCAAGAGTCGGGCGCTTAACAGACTGAGCCACCCAGGTGCCCTGATTTCTGTAACTTTTGACGATGGATTTTTATTTTTCTTCTTTTTCATATGCGTCATAAATTTTTATTGAATGCCCATCGCATGTAAACAGTAGAGACTGAGGTAAATGGTATTTATGTCTGGAAGTGGCCATGCCTCTTCTGTTGGTCTGAGGGTTGAGTCTGTTTAGTTCGGGGTCAGGCAGGGTTTGGGCTATGTTGTTCCCACCATTACCTTAGTGCATCACAGACTTTGAATCCCTCTAGTAGTGGGCTGCTTAGAGTGTGGACTGGTGTGTCAGAGGATTTTTCTGGGTTCCTGCTCCACGGACCTCAACCATCCCTGCATGCCTGCCCTACACCAGCAGTGGAGTGCTCTTGCTTGTCGTGTGGAGCCAGGCTCCTGGAGGGGTAAGACACGCAGTGGGGGTGGGTTGAGGGGGTGCGTCTCTGTTATCCTGGTTCAGCTTTAGTCTCAGGCACATCCCAAGGTCAGGAGTGAGGCTTTCTCATTATTTCTGCCCCTGTTCCCTCAGAAAGCCAAATTCTGCCTTACTATCTGCAGTTGGTTTTTGTGGCCAGTTTCTTGCCCGCTCCCCCAACAGAGCAGACCCTTGCTTGAATCCTCAGCCCTATAGTTGCCCGCTTCTCCCTTTGGGATAGAGGGATTTTGCTTCCATTCTTCCTCACCAGAGCAGTGGATTTTTTGCCTGTGGCAAAGAAGGACAGAAATGTTTTTACTCCTCACCCCAAAGCAGGTGAGTTTTGCTTTCATTACTCCCCCTAAAGCAAGAATCTGTTGCCCCTTCCTTAGCAGCTTAAGGCTTTTGCTTAAGAGAGGGATTCTGGAAGCAGCTGAGGCTTTTTGCCTTTGCCAAGCAGCTGCCTTAATCAACTTCTTCATGCTTGCGCCACCAGGGAGGAAAGCCCTCTCCCATTTCCTGCCCAGCTCCCAGTTTTTCTCTGAACCTCCGGGGAGGCCTCTGGAAAAACACTGTGAGTACAAACTCTCCTGTGTCTGGAATAGTCTCCAGCTATTCTAAACTGACACACTAGCCCATGTGTAGCCTTTTAGCTTTTGTTAAAGTTTTTGTTGATTTCTTCTTACCCACTTGTATGATGGCCACCTCTTTCTTCCGTGCTCTGCTAAAGTTGAGACTGTTCACGTGTGTCTCTCTCTCCTTGAAGAGGCTTTATTTCACTGTCTTGTGACCTCAGCTTCCTGCAGACTCAAGAAAAGCTACGGTTTTGTAGATAATTTGGCTATTTCTCATCCCCGGGCAGGGGAGTGGCATTTTCTTGCAGGATTCTCTACCCTAAGTGGAGATGAAAGTCCTCAGGTCAGTCATCTTTTTCTTAGACAACCGCAGTCACCTCACAGCTGGCCCCTGCATCCAATTTTGCTCCTCTCCATACTGCATCCAGAATTAAGTATTAAAATTCTGTAACCATTAGAAACTAAAAGGGACTGAAAAATAAAATACCTGAAATTAGCTACATAAAACCCGAAACGTAGGTCATGGTGTGCCAGTTACCTATTGTCGTGTAACAAACCAGCTCCAAACCCAATGGCTTAAACCACGGCATTTATTTTGTTCATAAGTCTGCAGGGCTTCTCAGGGACAGCTTGTCTCTGTTCCACCTGGTGTCAACTGGGGTAGCTTGAAGGCTGGGGTCTGAAATCATCTTAATCTCTCACATGTCTGATGCCTGGGTGGGAAGATTCATGCTGGGGGCTAAACTGCTGAGAGCCAGCCCCTCTGTCTCTCCATGGCGTTTCTATAGTATGGTGTCCTCAAGGTTGCCAGACATCTTCTATGTTGGCTCAGAACTACCAAGGAACATGTTGAGAGAGAGAGAGGAGTGCTTTCATGACCTAGCCTCAGAAGTCACATTCTTTGTGCTGTACTCGATTAGCAAGGCACTTACATAGTCATACCCAGGTTCAAGGGGAGGGAGTGCTGACCCAACATCCCAAGAGAGCCATGTCCCCATCATACTTTAAGATGAAAGGGTGGGACGTGCTATGTTGATATGGCCACCTCTGAGGTCTGCCAACCATGATTCTATTTGTTCTGTAATCGTGAAACAATAGCTTCAAAGAAATCAAGCTAGAAAATAAAAATAAGACCACAAGCCATCAATTGCATTATTTCATATAGACATATCATTGCCAAGTGTGAATCTGTGCTCCCCTAATCAGTATAATCATGTCATACCCATGGCAACCATAGCTTGCATCTTTCTAGATGCAAATCTGATCCTGTCACTACCCCTCTTAAAATGACCCATTATCTCCTTGTCCCCACAATAAAACCCAAGCTCCTTAACATGGCTTAGGAAGCCCTTCATACCTGGCCTTGTTTATTAATTTCCCAACCTCACCTTTGGATGTTTCTTCCTTTGTCCTTCATGCTCCAGCTACACTGAACTACTTTCTGGTCTCCAAACTTTCTTTGGCCTTTAGGCCAATGTACATGCTGTTTTCCTCTTCTGGGACTTTTCTCTGTCCCCACGTTCTTCTCCCTCTATTTTCATGGTCTGACTGCTACTCAGTTTTCTGGACTCGGCTTCCCTAACACAGCCTCTCTCCTACTTCCCACCCTGACCGGCCTAGGGTTCTCCTATCTTCTTCCCCATGCTCTAAAGCTCCCTGTGCTTATGTCTTGACTCCGCAGCACCAGTGATGACAGCACTAATTAGCTAGGCCATCTCTCTCCTTGCATCATTGTGTGGGAAGATGTGGTTTCGCTTTATTCACCACCATGCACAGTGCAGGGTCTCAACAAATATTGGCTAGGTGAATGAATCCGTGCCTGAAATAACCCACTTCTGGGTTCAAGTAAACAACTCTCCCACAGACCTAAGATTGCTATGGCAGTGTCCTGTCTTGAATCTTATAACTCAAGTAGGGACAAAGCTGGCTGGGATGGTTTGGAATTTTCAGGAAAATATTGCCTGTTTCATGTGGCTGGAGCTTTTCTTAATCTCGGGGAGCCACTCCAAGGCAGGGCCAGGGAGTGGCCCCAGGGCGTTTTCCCTTTTCCAGCAACAGTCCTGGTGGGCAGGCCTGCCTGGGAGAGGCACACCTCAGCAACAGCTGGCGGGATGTTTGTTTACTTGCTGTCCCTACATCCAGAGCCTATTTCTGGAACAGGTACTGGATGCAAGCCTGTGCCATTCCAGCCCTGATCCTACCAAAGCCCTGGGTGATGAGCGTGCCATGTGGCAGGAGAGAACAGTGTGGCAGTCACTTACCTTTCCTCCCTGGCTGTAACCCAACCTTCTTTGGGTATGCCACATCATTTCTGCTTTGCCCTATTGGCAAAAGTTGTCCTCCCTTGGCTCTGTGGTTTAGCATTAAATATTGCTCCATTTGCTCTGTTTCACTTAGGGAGCCCTCTCAACTCAAATCTGATTTGAGGAAGTGCTAACTGGAGTTCCTTGGAAATTTCCAGGGTCAAAGAAAAAAGATCAGCGTTTCTGGCCAGTAGAATTTTTCCTACACTTAGTCCAATTTCTGAAAGAGAATTGGAATATAAAGAGATCATTTGACTTGTGATCACACAGTAAGCCACAAGGCAGATAAAGATAGCACCCGAGACTCTTAGATTCAAATTTAGTACCATTTTAATAGTCTAAGTTAAGTCTATATTAAAAAACTAGCTTCGGAAGCTAGTATCAAATTTGGTTTCGCTATGGGGTGCCTGGCTGGCTCAGTTGGAGGAGCGTCCTCAGTTGGAGGATGAACTTGGGTTTGTGGGTTTGAGCCCCACATAGGCTGTAGAGATTACAAATAAATAAAAACTTAAATTTTTTGGTAAATTGTGCTTCACTTGTTTTAAGAGCCATCACTCAAGTTGTCACCTCTAAACCATAGTTGTGGGGCACCTGGGTGGCTCAGCTGGTTGAGAGCCCAACTTTGGCTCAGGTTGTAATCTCATGGCTCCTGAGTTTAAGCCCTGCATTGGGCTCACTGCTGTCAGCGAGGAGCCCACCTTGGATCCTTGGCCCCTCCCCCGCTTGTGCTTTCATTCTTTCAAAAATAAAATTAAAAAAAAACAAAAAAGAAGAAGAAAAGAAACCATAGTTGCAACTCGCTGAACTCCCTTCTGTGGAAATCTGCCTCTATTAAAGAGTTAAGTGAGGGGCGCCTGGGTGGCTCAGCTGGTTAAGTGACTGACTTCAGCTCAGGTCATGATCTCATGGTTCGTGGGTTTGAGCCCCTTGTCAGGCTCTGTGCTAAATGCTTGCTCGGAGCCTGGAGCCTGCTTCAGATTCTGTGTCTCCTTCTCTCTCTGCCCCTTCCCCGCTTGTGCTCTGTCTCTCAAAAATAAATAAATGTAAAAAAAATTTTTAAAGAGTAAAGTGAGCAGGTAGCTGAAGATCTAGGACTTTCATCCCATACCTCACCCAGATTTTCACGTGAGGCTAAAAGCCTTCCAGTCCTGCAGTTCCTCTAACTCCACTTCAGTTCCTCTAACTCAATTTCCCACCTTCTCATACTAAAATTTCTGTTTCTTAGGAAATGGGAGGTAGGGAAAAGGCAAAGCTAGAATCTTCACTGAACTATAAAAACACTATTTTCTGGTGCAGATACATTCTCTGTCTGATTGACTGCTCTTTAGGAGGGTGTTTTGGGACCTTATTGCTTTTTTCTTAAATTGTTGTTACTTGAGAAAGAGTCATTTTTGTTTATCATGAAGGGAAAAGAAAACTCAGTCTTTAAAAAAAAAAAAAAAAATCTATCCAATGAGAGCCATCAGATGGCCCCGTAGGAAGTGTGGTCCAGCACCTGAACCCCAGGCAGAGACAGAAACTTGCAAGCTCAGTCCAGGGCCAGATGACTGTTAAGTGTCTGCCTTCCCCAAAGTGTTTGGGGACCACAGACAGTCGCTCTCTATGTCAAAGGTATCCTACTATTAAAAAGCAGTAGAGGAAAAAATAAAAAAAAATTAAAAAAAAAATAAAAGTAAAAAGCAGTAGAGGGCACCTGGGTGGCTTAGTCGGTTAAGCGTCCAACTTTGGCTCAGGTCATGAGCTCACAGTTCTTGAGTTCTAGCCCCACATCGGGCTCTGCGCTGACAGCTCTGAGCCTGCTTCAGATTCTCTGTCTCCCTCTCTCTCTGCCCCTCCCCTGCTCACGCTCTCTCTCTCTCAAAAATAAGTAAACATTTTTTAAAAAGCAGTAGGAATAAAGCTAATACCATTAGTCAAATTTTTCTTTTTATTTTTAGGGGGGGGGAGTGGGGCAGAGAGACACCTAGGGCTTGATCCCACCACCCTGGGATCACAGCCTGAGCCCAAATTAAGAGACAGACACTCAACCAACTGGGCCACCCAGGTGCCCCCATTATCAATTTTAAAGAAGGAAAATATATCTGGAAATTGCCACCTCCCCCTAAATTCATATAATTCAGCAAATACATGGAATTATCTGGTTGATTCCCATCCTTTGACAGTGCAAATACTTGATTTAGATATGACCACATGTTCTCTGAAGATTTTTATGGTCACTCTGTTCCATCATTAGGGATTTGAAACCTGTTACCCGGGAAGAAGCTCCATGGAGTCAGAGCTGCAGAAATCTGGCCACAGAATCCCACCCTAAGAGCACCGAGGTGAGGTTTGGCTTGTCAGAGGGCTCATGTCAAAAATAGAAGGCTGCAAAGTTTCTCAGGTCTCCTGCATTGTCAAATACTTGTCTTTACCTCCCCACTAACTGGGAGCATCTCTCTGGGGGAGAAGCAGTTCAAGAGCACCACACACACAGCTATTCTCATCAGAAAAGCTTTATGTAGACAACACGGACTGAACATGAACACTATAAACAGGGAAGCACAGGCTCAGCCAGGAAAGCTGCCGCAAGAAGCTTGGAACTATTCAGAAGGGGTGTCAAATACCAACACCAAATTTACAAGTCTAATTTGAAGCTTGGCCCTTTTTAAGTGCAAGAGGAAGTTAGGGGAGAAACCATGCATGAAATAAAAAAATATACATATACACACAAACACTCAAGTTGTCACACTGTTGTCCCTTTTCTCCACAAGGAACAAATCAGACAAAGGAAAAGTGCGGCCTCTTTTCCTAAAGTCTCTGTATTTATTACAAACTTAGAGGAGCCCCACATGGGGTGTGGATCCAAGGAGGCAGATTTGATTCTCCTTGGCCTCACTTACCACTGACAATTAACCAAAGAAATACTTGGGATACAGGCAGGAACATCCAGAAGAGGCAAGCAAAAATATGGCTCACTGAGCTTATATATTCTACACAAGGATATCAGTTTCTCCAAATACTTTCATACTTGCTCCTTCACTAGATTCTTAGCAGACTTCTCACCTGTAGCAACAGGGCTCAGGCAAGGTGTGAGACACAGAGGAAAGCGGTATTTTGATCCAGCATGTGCTGGGTCAGTCACTTTATCCAGGACAGTCACACATGCCAGCCCCAAGCCAGTCCTCAGGGGCCCACAGCTGTTTGCTTTGTTGAGTGGGAGCGTGGGCTACCCTCCCTCCTTAGATTTCTCCTTGCTGCTCCGCTGTTCCCTCTGGACCCAAGACAGCTGCTTGGGCATGCTTGTGTGCAATTTACTGTTCCGCGGCTGCTGGCTGGTCCCCGGCCACTGGCTTCTCAACCTGGGACTCTGGAGGAATCAGATACTGGACCTCCTCTGTACTGATGGCTACTTTATCTGGCTGGAGCCACCTCTTGAAATGTTCCAAGGTGCTAGGAGAAAGCAGGAGAAAAGGGTGGCCGCATCAGACCTGGCTGATTAATCACTTAATGATTATCTCAGTTACTCAAATGCTGCCTTCCCGCCCACCACCAATTTCTTCCTACAATTGTTTTTCACTGCTAACGGGGAGAACGCCCCGATCTTCCTCTGACAGCTGTGCATCCTGGCAGCTCGGCGGCATAATTTACCCCCTAGTGGGCACTTTGGCTATAAGCAGCACCAGGCCCCTTCAAATGCAGAGCCTCAGAAGGCTTGACGAGAATAGCTGAAGAGCTTATGTCTCAGTCCTGTCTTTTCTTCCTCAAAACTGGAGTGGAGAGAAACTGTCAGAGGGAGGAAACGTTCAAATAAATACCAAACTATTAGTGGAGCATCTTGAAATCTCCTATACCTGAGGCAGTCTGAGACTCGATTATACTTACAGCACTTAGTTGCACTAAGCACCATTTTTGTGGGTTTTTTGTTTGTTTATTTCATCCTATAGCAAGTCCTCAAGATGGAAACATCTGCACAGCAATTTCTCCCACAAAGAAATAGCCACTATGCCAGAGGGCTCTTTTTTCCTTTGCATCTGTGCAGAGAGGGGAAGTGCCCCCTCCCACCTTCCTTAATTACCCAAGATCCTCCACTCTAAAGCTTATTAGATACTCATGGTAAACTACAAATGACCACAAATAATATAAACCTTATTCTATGCTCTTAAATAGCCCAAAGTCTCGAGCCCAGAAGTAAAGCCATCACCAGCAGATTTGAGACACCTAAAATGGGGGAATCCTGGTGTAGACAATAGGATTTCTCAGCCCATTACTCCTGCGCCAAAAGCATGCCATGATGAGGGTCACCTACCTGGCCTTCACGTACATGAAGAACCACACAATTCCACTACAAAATGGCCTCTGTTTAAATCATAAATGTTGAAGTCTGCAAATAAATGCAAATCTATTTCTGGTGTGCTTGTTCTAACACTGATAGAAAGATGTGTTCCCACAGATGGAGCTTGGGAACAAGTGCCCACAGCTCAGGGGACTAAGGTACTCCAGGGGCCTTTAATCTTCATCTACAACACTTTTCATAGAATTGTTTCAACTGCTTCTATAGAAAAGGGAACATCAGGGGCGCCTGGGTGGTGCAGTCGGTCGAGCGTCCGACTTCAGCCAGGTCACGATCTCGCGATCCGTGAGTTCGAGCCCCGCGTCAGGCTCCGGGCTGATGGCTCAGAGCCTGGAGCCTGTTTCCGATTCTGTGTCTCCCTCTCTCTCTGCTCCTCCCCCGTTCATGCTCTGTCTCTCTCTGTCCCAAAAATAAATAAACGTTGAAAAAAAAAATTAAAAAAAAAAAAAAAAGGGAACATCATATCATTTTAGGTATTGATAAACACACAGAAACATGACCTTGAGCCTTGGTGCTGATCTGATTTCAGAGAAAAAGAATTCCTACTTGAGAATCACATAGAAAATTTTGTCTTTTCTTCTCAGAATTGGAGAGGAGGCAAACATTCAAGGGGAGCAAGAATCAAATACCAAGTTATTAGTGTGTTGGGAATGTGTACATCTTCAAGTCTTTTGTGTTTGGGGCAGTTGAAGGCTCAACGGGATTGAGTCTTTAGAGACAGAAAAATGCAACATGTGTTTTATTTTCTGAACCCTCAGAGGGTAGGTAGTTGGCCTGACTTTAGATGCCACATGATTTCTGAACAATCTAAGGGCACGCTAATGCAATATTTAAGATAATGTAAGTAAAAGCACTTTGCAAATTAAAAAGCAAAATGTAGGGGCGCCTGGGTGGCTCAGCTGGTTAAGCATCTGATTTCAGATCAAGTCATGATCTTACAGCTCATGAGTTTATCGGGCTACTCGTTAACAGTGAGGAGCCTGCTTGGGATTCTCTCTCTCTCTCTGTCTCTGTCACTCTGTCTCTCTGCCCTTTCCATGCTCTCCCTCTCTCTCTCTCTCTCTCTCTCAAAAATAAATAAACAAACTTAGAACAAAAAGTAAAATGTAACTATCAAGTTTTATTTCCCTACTGTCCATGATTTCAGCAGCCATAGCTTCATCTGACATCATGGGGCTTTTTAAAATCAATGTTAATGGTATGTTGCAAACTTAGGTCATGTTTCCCTAAAACCTTTTGTTTCAAATTTGGGTTTTTACTTCCCTCACCAATTTTTTTGAATAATTTCTTACTGAACTTTAAAATTCCATCAAGACCAATGATAATAGCTAACACTTATATAGTACTTACCAGGGGCCAGGTGTGTTCTAAGCACTTTATACACAGTAACTCATTTAACCCTCATAACAACCCAAGAGGTAAGAGTTACTATTCCTGGAAAGCATATTACTATTACATATTCCTGTTACTATTCCTGCTCTGTAAAGCAGGAAACTGAGGCACACACAGGTTACTTCCTTAAGGACACAGAGCCAGTAAGTGGCAGAGCGACTCTCCCGGGTGTTGGGCACCATGCAGCTCTTTGTGGCAGGATGCCGTCTCCTCCTCTCTGCATCCATCACCCCCTGAAGATACTGTTCAAGTCCTGCCTTCTTCTCTGGCACAAACACCAGAGCCCACAGGGAGCTCAGTGGTCTCTCAACTCCCAAAGCATGCTCTGTCACTTCCACTCACCCGGCTCTTTTCTTATGCTGCCTTATTTTGTTAGGTTCATCTTTATGTGTATTTGTCATCTCTCTCCAAATAGTTGTGGGGACCAAAGGAAAAAAAAGGGATCTCTAAAATTTCTTTACATCTCCCCTCTGCCCCAGCACCCCCAGCCCCATAGCATCAAGCACAGTGCCTTCACACAGTAGATGCTTAGGAAATTCATGCTATATAAATTCAGTCTATACAAATTTGAATGCCTACAAGGTGATAGAAACTCTGTAAGGCAATAGGGAGTTACAGGTAAGATACTGTTCCAGTTGATAATTGGTTACTACTTTCTCAAGTACATTGTATACTTGGAAAAGAAGACAATGCTTTATCCTCAATTCTGTCCAATCTGTGATCAAGATGTAGGTGGGGTATTTGCTTTTTTGCAAAAATACTATCAAAAATCTGCTACTGGACCAAGAGCAAAGAGAGCAACCTTAAAAAAGGATGAGTTTTGAGCTCAGAAAAGCTGATGTTGATATTAACCAATATCTCGACTCAAATGTCACTCTCCCTGAATTCTTTAGAGAAAGAGAAATGCCCTCAGTGAAATACTGTCACCTGGAACTGGACTGAGAACCAATTACCTCTCATCAGAATCAAATCCATCCACAAAGAACTCTGATGCTAGCTTCTCCTGGAGGAATCGATCCCAGCATTCCTTCTTGGCTTGGGCCAAGGTTCGAAGCATGTCCTTAGAAGTTACTTCCTGATTTAAACCTTTGATTCTTCTCAGTTTCTTCTCTAAAAACAGATGAGGAGAAGTTAACAAGGAAAGTGAGTATAAAATGAAACGAAATCTAAAATGCAACATGACAACTTAAAAATTCTCTCACTGATGAGTATATTCACACTCCCTGCAAAAGAGCTCATTTTTTCTGAGGACATGTACAGGGAAATGTACATTTTTCTTTTTCCTTCACAATGTCTTAACTCTGGATTGTATCAAAGAAACATTTAACCCCAGAAAGGGAAAAAGCCATAGGCTCTCATAAATAAATCAGTGGCATGTCTTCTTTGAAATCACAGAAGCCAGCAGGTATCTCTCTAAGGAATTACTTGTTTTCCCTGGCTTGACATGTGTCAACTCCTTGAATACAGTCTCTCTGAGGAGTAAGTGGTTTTTCTTTTTGTTTCAATGACATGAAGTAGTTTCCAAACCTCAGGAGAAAGAATTAGAGAAAATAATGAAAGATCCAATGGTTCATTAGACACTAAAATTGGCTTGATGGGAACTCAATAATCAGAGACCTTGAAGATCTCTATGTGTGATTAAATTCTTCATAAAAGAAAATCTCCCAACGTTTTTTACAGTTACTCAACTTGTGGCCTGGATGTTGGGACCTTATAAAAACAAACATCTTCTAATTCCAATGAATGGTCTACATGGCTTCCTGATGATAGATGTTTACTTATTCTTCTGTGCATTTTAAGTGTAATTGTTGAACAACTGAAGAACAGAAGGAACAGTATCACCATTTGCCTTCTGCCTTAATTCAGTCTTGCCTTCAACTATAATAAATGTGTCAATGATGGCCTTTTGGAGGGGGGAGTGGGGAATAATATCAAGCCCAGACCCAAACAGAAACTTTATGATTTGCAATCCTGTTTTCATTTCTTCTTTTTAAAATTTTATTTATTTATTTTAAATAATCTCTACACCCAATGTGGGGCTTGAAATTATAACCCCGAGATCAAGAGTTACATATTCCTCCGACTAAGCTAGTCTGGAGCCCCCTGTTTTCACTTTTTTTTTTAATGTTTACTTATTTATTTTGAAAGAGAGAGAGAGAGAGAGAGAGAGAGAGAGCAGGGCAGGGGCAGGGAGAGAGAGGGAGACAGAATCCCAGGCAGGCTCAGCTCAGAGCCTGATGCAGGGCTCTATCTCACAAACTGTGAGATCGTGACCTGAGCTGAAATCAAGAGTTGGTCACTTAACCAACTGAACCACCCAGGCACCTCTGTTTTCATTTCTAAACAGGCCACATCATCTGCCATCCACAGATCAAAGCAATAACCACCTTTTGTTGCTGAAAGTTGCCACCAAGAGCTCGCCCATGTAAAAAACCCGCAATTGATAAAAGTTAAATATTTGAGGAGTTTTTGCCTCCTTGAGGATGTGAAAAGAATTATGTAGATCTCACACTGAGCTGGCTAAGTTTTTTTTTTAATACTTTTAAAAAAAATATTTATTTTTGAGAGAGAGAGAGACAGACAGACAGACAGGGTGTGAGTGGGGGAGGGGCACAGAGAGAGGGAGACACAGATTCCGAAGCAGGCTCCAGGTTCTGAGCTGTCTGTACAGAGCCCGACGTGGGGCTCAAAGTCACAAACCATGAGATCATGAACTGAGCTGTAGTCAGTCGCTTAACTGACTGAGCCACCCAGGCGCCCCATGAGCTGGCTAAGGTTTTATAATTGGTGCTCTTAGTGGATTCTTTTTGATATAGGTTTATTTGGCAATAAAAACAATGTATTATCTGGCCTTGGTTCTCAAGGTGGAAGGTACTCTTTTGAGGTGGCAAAGTCTTCCCCTCTCTGAGTGTGCTGAGTCCCTAATCGGTTGTGATCTAAGTTGGGCAGGTAGAAATAGATACCACTGCATACTCCAAGTCTGCCTGCCAATGTCTCCCAGACTGTGCCATAGGCACAGAAATGGCTCCTGTCTTCCTCAGAGAATGAAATTTTAATCATCTTTTTTTTTTTTCAAGATTTTATTTTTAAGTATTCTCTACACTCAACATGGGGCCCAAACTTACAATCCCCCAGATCAAAAGTCCTATGCTCTACCGACTGAGCCAGCCAGGAACCCTTTAATCATCTTCTTAACTGATTTTAGAAAAGATCAGTGGAGTTTTAACTTCCAAAACCAGTCTTGACCAATCAAATCATCACCAAATCCATTAAAGTTTCTTACATCTCCTGGGCACAGAGTACCAACAAGCTGCAGGATGTGGTTCTCCAGCTTTCTCAGATGATTGCTTCTTCTCCTTATCATCGTTCTGACTACCACTGAACAGAATTGTGTGGGACACCTAGGTGGCTCAGTTAAGCATCTGACTCTTGATTTCAGCTCAGGCCACGATAGTTCGTGAGTTTGAGTCCAACATCAGGTGAGCTCGAGTCTGGCTTTGGGTAAAACATGAGCCCGGGTGAGCCCCTTTCT